CAAATAATTTTCCATTCCAATTTAAAAGAACGCAATTCCCAGTATCAGTGTGTTATGCAATGACAATTAATAAGGCTCAAGGGCAGACTTTTCGTGTTGCTGGAGTAGATCTCGGTGTCAGTTGTTTCTCGCATGGTCAGTTGTACGTCGCTCTTTCCCGGGTTAGCATTTCTAGAAATCTTTATGTTCACGTGCCGGACGGTGACCCGTCTTTCAATATAGTTTACCCAGAAGCTTTGCACTGAAGTATTTCTGTTCTATAAGTACTTAAGCCTCATGTGAACGTGATCTAAACAATATTACCAATATATTAACTTAATAACACACAAGGAGTTACACTCCATCCAAAGCCCAGCGACGCTATAACATATATAGGAATGACGTCTTAGCAAAAGTTGTTTAGTCTGATGGGCATTTCCTGTTGACTTACAAAAATGAAAGATCTAGAACGTCTCGAATCGTCTCGTGAATCACGTTGCTTTCCCGTCTCCGGGCTCTTAGAATTAAACATCAGACGTTTCAGATCTTCTATTTTGACGACCCCGTTGTCGCTGGAATAAGCAACAGGATCCGCGTATAAAGTCGCCGGCAGAAGCTAGTTCTAAATATTCTAGTTCAAAAGTTCACAAGATACTATATAATTTTGTATTTCGTTCATTTTTTTGTATTTGACTGAAATATTTTCAAGCTATAAGTAAAAGGCAAAATTTTTACATAATTATAGTTACTATTTGTTATAAACAAAATCAATAAAACTAAACTCTTCAATGTGATAAGTCACATCGCAATTTTTAGATGATTCGGTTATTTCGTCTTGTTTATCTTTAAGCCGTGGTCTTTTTCCAAACACATTAGGTATTTTTATTTTTTTATTGTTATTATAGCTTAAAAAAAGTTGTAGGTACTTACAAATTGAAAATAACTTTCGTGTTGATATTTTCAACTTTCTTTCTCCGGTAAAAAAATTATTCCATTTCAATCATTTACATTTATTTATAAAAGTGTTTAATTAATTTATCTAAATATACTAAATTTCTAACTAATAGTAAATATATAAAAAAGAAAAAAGAAAATTTGACTTCATATTCCTAGAATCGAACCCGGACACTCTCGAGTGCAAACTGCAAATCCAAACCTATACCTAATATTAATTATTTGAATACTCAGTCTTTACTGATTTTAAATTAGATTTATATTAAAACGTTTAAAAAATACATTTTTAAACATATAAAGTGATTTATAAATGTATCTAATACTAAATTTATAAAAGAAAAAAGAAAATTTGAGTTCATATTCCTGGAATCGAAATGGAGCACTTTCGAATGCAAACTGCAAATCCATACCGCTAACAATACCAAATACACAACTGTAATAAACTACGTTCTAAAATTCATAGGTTTGTTGTTGTAAAAATAAATATTTGTAGGCGCATCTATAAATTGCCGGTAGGATCTCGTCACTTGTAGTAATTGAGGGTATATCGAAAAACCCTCCCACTCGTTTGTGCAGTATAAAGCTCGGTGTAAGTGCAGAGCGCGAGAGATTTCGCTTGAGTCATTTCACGAGTGAAGTCATTCTACGCGTGCTAAGATAGTCGTTGTTCTGTCCATTGTGGTGATTCTTCTGGTGCAGGCAAGGAGGAAGGTGTTGCTGAGAGGCTGTGCTGTGTTACGTTGAGATGGGTAAGGTTGCTGCTGGTTTACATAATTTGGTGTTATCATGTAGTTGTGTCCTTCACATTGCACTGGTGTGTAATGGGACATGGGATGGGGAAGTACTACGGTATGGTCAAACTGTAATTACTCTATGCTGAATGTATTTCGTTCGTATTTCGTTACATTGTCCTATTATTGATAATGATAAATTGCGCAAGCAAGAGAGCAAGTTGAACATCAGTTCTCACACTTTTACCATTTTTAATAATTAACGCTATCCTGTTATTTCCCACACAATTGGCTTATCTTGTTGTACTTTCCGACATATTTATTATTTAGTAATATTTAAATGTTATAGAAATAAGTAAAACCTTTAAATATCGTTCATATGTTTTTTACTCTTCGTAACGGGTTTCATTTTAAGTCCCATATTTACAAATGATAATTATTAACAAGGTATAATTGCCAGCACAAGTCGTGAGCACACTTTTTATTGTTCGATACGACGTTGACCACGCTGACACTCAACGTGATTGGTTCATCAGTCGATTCTCGTCGTCTATTGGGTTCGAACGTATCATTCGGCTTCCATACACTTGAGAGCAATTTTAGTAATAACTTTTTAACTAGTTTATTTTCGTTAATTTTTTTTTGTTACCTCGTTGTTAATTTTTGTTTGTGTATTCCTTGTTTTTAAATGTTTTTGTTATTTCTTGGTTTTTAAAAACAAGGAATACACAAACAAAAAACAATTTTATTTTTGTTGTTATAATTTGAGTGTTCAGATTTTGGTCTAAATATGCAGAGAAGGAAGAATTCGGTGTTAAATAGACAATCCCGACAAAAGGTCTATTCAGTGTTTAGTTACATGAAAAAATTGGGTACTGCGAAAGACATCATAGACGTCTATAAACAGACTGCTGAGGCGACTAATGTTTCAGTAGCTAATGTACGGCGTATAGTTAAAGGAGTTGACGACTTAGAATTTCTGGTCGTATTTAGAACGCCAGGCAAGAAAAGACCACAAAAGCATTCTGTCACAGAATTAGATAACCAACCAGGGAGTTGTTAAAAGATGCGTTCATAACTACCATGTTACCAATAAAGAAATGCCTACCATTGGAAAACTACGACAAAAATTACGGGAAGATATAAACTTTCAAGATTCAGAGCACAGTCTTCGCCGTATAATGTTTGGCTTCGAGTTGATGTGGTTCAAGTAAATATCTTCATAAAAGTTGTCGAAAATATTCAATTACGAATTGAAATAATAAAGGTACCCACTAATTTTGTCCGACAGTGTACCTACCTCCCACCACAGTTTATCTGTGCTCACGACTTGTGTCTGCAATTATTCCTTACTACGTTATTTTAACTTTAAATATTTTAAATCGACATATATACGAAATAAGAATATTTATGGAAAGAAAAATATTTATCAAACAATGAGTTTAAAAATAAAATTATACAAATATATTAAACAATCTTTACGTAAATACTGCGACAAAAAGAGGGACACATCTATAGTACGTTTCTAGAGCAGGCGGAAAAAAGTACATTGAACTCATGTATTATGTTAGCATCGAAACAAAACGACAGTTATTGTTCCATACATTTCTACAAAGATTTACGTATCGTTATGCGCTAAGCGTGTCTCATGGTACGGGGTAGAGTGAAGGAAGCGGTCATTCAGAGATAATAAATTCAATAATAAATTAATGTTTCGATGCTGCGCCCTCCTTTCTGCCAAGGAGGGTCGCTTTCGTATACGGCTTAGAGATCTCTAGTCAGATCGTTAAGCCAATTCCTAAAAGGTTGGGTTTAGTGGGTAAAAGTCACCACATAATACAGCCGGCTGCGTGGTATGCTATGAGCATTCCCAACCTCCCTCCCCCGCTTTCCGGAGGGTTGCCCATATTTGCTTCGGGCGCAAAAAAAAAAAATGTTTCGATGCAATTTGCGATAGGTCTCACGCCGTGCGTATTAAAGAAAGCGGATGGAGCAGAACTAATTCCTCATTCTGCTTTGGGATGCGCTTGCGTGTAGATAGTTTGAGATTTAAAATTTTCGGTTATAGTAGTTGTTTTAATTTGTATTAAGTTTGTTTTGTTAGTTGTATTATTACGTTTTGTATTAAAATTTTTGTTATTGTTTTGTGACGTTTTGTATATTATCACTAGTATGAAATCGAGTCCATCGACATGAAAATCTCATAAAGACTCTACGTCACCACTAAAGAAGCGAAAAGTGTCGCATATTTCGGAAATCGAAAAAATAATGATTGTAAACATCTATAAATATGTAAAAGAAACTTGGTCTAGTGACGTATATCCATCCAAAACAAATATGAAAAAGAAGACTGCCGATATTTTAGGTTATAATCAATGTGTCCGACTCTTTTACGTCTTCATTATCATAAAATGATTCTGAAATAGATACAGATAAATAGTCTGTCTCTGACAATCTATTATGAAAAGTTATGTATGCTTCAAGGTTGGCTGCTTAAGAATGTTTAGCATTAAAAGTTCATCTTTTTACCTAACTGCCAAGAAGTGGTTATGTTTTAAACAATTACCGACCTACCTACTTATTAAAGTACTTATTTACTATTAACGTAATAATGAAAATTGTAATATTTTTTTTTTATAAAAGAGGGGGCAAACGAGCATGCGGCTCACCTGATGTTAAGTGACTACCGCCGCCCATGATCAATCGCAACACCAGGGGAATTGCAGGTGCGTTGCCGACCCTTTAGAAAGGAGTAAGCTCTTTTCTTGAAGGTCCCCAGGTCGTATCGGTCCGGAAAAATCGCTGGTAGTAAACTAGTCCACAGAGAGGTTGTACGCGGAAGAAAACTCCTCTTGAAACGTACAGTGGTGGACCGCCAAGCATCCAGATGATGTGGATGGTATCGGGACGTTTACCGCGTAGTGCGTTCACGAAATTTGGCGGCTGGGATTAATCCGAACAATTCCTCAGAGCACTCTCCATGGTATATGCGAAAGAAAATGCAAAGAGATGCAACATCTCTTCTCTTATTGTATCCATAGATAATTATTATATGATGAATGTGTGGCAACACTGAACTATAATAAAAAAGGAGAAAAAAGCAAATGTAAAGCGGACGGACGTCGTTTCGACTTTTGTATTCCGTCATGCAATAATTTTTGTTACACATGAATTCGATGATAAAAAAGAGTTTTCGATGTCGCCTACGTGAACGTTAGTTGCATTGTAGTGAAACATGAAGTTTTAGTATTTCTTTTGTGTAATTCGTTTTGTAGTTCTTGATAAGTCTGTGACAAGAACGGTAATGGTGGCCATGTCATGAAAATCCCCACAGCCATGGATGATAGCTCCGTGTCTCATCACAACGGAGGGCAAGTGGGATCTCAAATCGGAGTTAGTGTAAATAATAAACAAAATGAAGAATCTAGCCAAAGTGTCCAGTATTCAATACCAGGCATTTTGCATTTTATCCAACACGAATGGGCGAGATTTGAGCTCGAGAGATCACAATGGGAGGTGGATAGAGCTGAATTTGAGGTAATTATTGTTGTATATTTCATAACATAAGATTTTTTAAGATCTACGTGCCTTTATCTACGTGCCTTTATTTCATAAATATTTTCTTTTATTTAATTGGTTTATTTTATCTCATTTTATAGAACTAAGTTGGCGCTTAGTTAAATTATTTTGTTGTAAATTTTTTAATATTTACAAAATAAAAGTTAAAATTATATTTATTATTGCTTTTTATTTATCCACAAAATCAATTAAAAGGTTATAAATATTTCTATTCATGCGTTTGTGGACATATTGTCTCAGTTTGACGCATTTTTGTAGTTTTTTTATTTATATTTCATTTTTCGTATATGAAACACGATCACGTCATTGTTTTGTAATATGTGTTTTGTAATTACTATAGAAATTAACATTTGTAATTTCATTAACATTTGTAATTTCATCATTACTAAATCAAATTCAAACACAAATTAATTATTACTGTTTTTCGCTGGTTAAGTAAATACTAACTTTTTTTTGTATTAGTACTCTGACTCTCTGACTCTGACTCTCACTTTTTGAGTTTATTGTATGGCAATTGTAATATAATAGTTATAATACCGCCAAATATTTTTAAATAGTTATTATTTGCAAATTATTTCTACATTTATATAAATTTCCGGTTAGTTTTTTTAATGTGACACGCATTAAACACTAGGCCTTTCTCCTGTATCGTGGGGGCAGTTTACATACATAAATTTCACAAATTTCTTAAGGACAACACCCAAACCTGGAACAATTATTTGTAGGCCATACAAATGCTTGTTCAGTGTAGGATTCGAACCTGTGGCACTTAGTGTTGCAACTCATTGCCAAGCCACTGTGCCACAGATTCGTCAAAGTTAGTTTGTGGTTAGAATATAGGTCCTAAATTAAACTTTTAAAGGAAAATCAACCAAATTTTAGTTTCTGATTATCATGTATAAATAATAATAATATATATATATATATATATATATATATATATATATATATATATATATAAATAATTATTTATAATAATACAATTATTAATTAATTAGTTGCCCCCCTGATTTATAAGGCTTATATTCAGTAGTGAACTTTTATAGTCTGTAATGGATGGATGGACGTTAACACTTAAGGTGTTGCTAATGGGTACAACAGACCGAGTCCTTAATATTTTGCTTGATACATATAAAAATTTGACATTTGCAGCATTGCCGCTTTTAGTACCTTTTAATGATAGTGTAGCACAGCAAATAACAACATTGGTAGTCAGGTAGCTTGAACTCTCATTAGTAAATGAAAGTGTGATTTTACTTCAAAGAGGATATTGTATTTTTGTCATTTTTTTATGTTTCTATGATGAATGATCCCTCTTTATTTCGTGTAAGTACATCATTATTGTAGTCTATATAGCATAGAAGATTTTGTTTGAAATAAAAAATTATAGAAATTATAACAATTAGCCTAAATTATGTCACAAAACTATGGAGAAATTATTATATTTTTGTAACAGCTTTTGTTTAAGTAAGAATAATAAATATTAGTATATGATTCAATTATATTTTTCTTTACATATATAGAATCCTTATTAGAAAGTAGCTATTTATGTTTATTAAGCAGTTTTGGAATAGGATTATGATATTACACTGGACCCCGTAGTAGTACTTGTGCTACAAATTAGGACATGACTCCCTAAGTGTTAAATATGTATTTACTATTTATTCATGAAAATGTATTAATAATATTGTATCACTTTAACTTTTGCAACTATGCTATATATAACTATATAACTACCAATATGGTTAGAACCAATTATAGCAGCCAAATCTTGCTAAGTATCTATCGTTTTGGATTTTATGGGATACATTTCGGAGAGTATATATAGGACTTACATAACATAATTCCTCCTATTTTTATCATCAGACCACCAGATTCTGATTATAATGTGGGTCAAATTTTTGTGAAGCTAAGTTAATGTGTTTTACTATTTGCGGCTGCCTCACCACTTGCCATCAGGTGGGGTAGTAGTCAAGCTCAGACTTATAATATTTCAAAAGAAATCTCAAATATCTTTCTAATAAAATCAATCTGACTATTTAGGTATAAAGTCCTCTGTCAACTACTGAGCAATAAACTAGATTTCTACAAAAATTTAAATCCAATTAATCAAACATCCGATATTTGGTTTAGTTGTACTGTAACAGTGAATAATTGTAAATGAATATTCTGCAAATGGAATGGTTTTATTATGTTATGATACTAGTTTAGTTTAGTTTATGATGGGCTGTTTTCCGCAACTCCTACCTACGTCCTATGTCTAAGCGCGTATTTTGCGTGTGGGCAGGAATAATATGCTTATTCAAGCCATGATATCTCCCCGAAGAAGCTCAGCAGTCCCTTCATGTTGCAAGCAACTTCGGGGAGCGATCCCAGCGTGCCGAGATGTTTAGCCCTGTATGAAGCGACTTCTGGACATGTCAGCAACATGTGAGCCGCCGTTTCTTCCTCTCCCATGCATGCCCTGCACAGGGGGCTGTCACTAACACCTATGGTGAACAAATGTTTGTTAAAAGAGCCATGTCCTGTGGTAGCACTTGTTACTATCCTGATCTGTGGCTTGTTCAGTCTCATTAGAACCTTGGTTAGACGACTGTTTATTTCAGGTAGGGCCTCCCTAGCTTGTATACAGTCTACAAAATTTTTCCAAAGCTGAGCATGTAAATTATTGAAGTATCTACGTACCAGTGATCGAACGTAGCCAAAGGGGATTGGCATTATTGGTTCCGGCCCTATAGTTGCTAGGGCCGATCCCCTTCTGGCCAGTTCATTTGCTGCATCGTTGCCTCTAGATCCACTGTGTCCATTGATCCATTGCAGAGTCACATTGTTGTGCTTACATACCTCATTCAATCGTTGATGGCACTCGTATATCAGTCCCGAGTTTGTCACATTGAAACTCAGAGCTTGTAGTATCGCCATACTGTCGGTCAGTATTCTGATGGAGAAGTCTTTCACCTTCCTAGCATCTATTGCTATGGCCGCTTGGATGATACCCATGCATTCAGCCTGGAAGACTGTAGACTTGTAGCAAAATGGCTCTTAATACTTTGTACAAAATTCGGTCAAAATGTCTATGTATAATAACTAGTAGCTTCCACTCCCATTCTCGCTCTTCAAGTTAAATGTGTTGATCCCCCCCTATTTCTACGCAGGCAATATCTCTCAGATAGGTTCTTGTTCAAAGTGGCAGGTCATTTACTCCATCCTCTACTTTCCAAACTTCATTCCTTGTATCGGTTGGTCAGGGACTCTCCATATTGGTCCCACAAGAATTTGCTATACATTATAAAAAGCTATATTAAATTGCTCAACATTCCCTCTCCAATTTATCAATCCCTTATTAACCCACTTTACAATATTCCATATGAGACTCTAATTTTCAATCCAGACATTATTCTATATATCGGAACAGATAAAAATACTATTGAAGCAAATAACAAATTAAATATGCTCCTCCTCCAAAACTGGCATGATTGGTTTACTATGTACACTGATGCTTCAAAGTTTAATAGGGTCTGCAGTGTGGATCCCTAAATACAGGATTATTTTAAATTTTAACTCTCCTCCTGACTCATCTGTATTCACAGGTGAGGCTTTCACTATTTTAGAGGTAGTTTCATATGCAGAATCACATGGTCTGAAAAGGACCCTTATTTTCTCAGACTCCCTTAGTTTTCTTCAAAATATTGTATCCAGTCCTTTTCACTCTAAGATTAGATACCCCCTAATTTTAAATATAACAAAGTCTCTGTACTACTGTCATAAAAAAGGGCTGAACATTGGATTGGCTTGGATCCCTAGCCACTGCGGGATTCAGGGTAATGAAATTGCAGATAATTTGGCTAAAGATGCCACAAAACCTGGCCTTATCCCTACACAATGCCTCTATGCACATGACCTCCTGCCAAAGGCAAACTCTGGCCTTCTGTCTTCTTGGCAAAATAATTGACATCAGTCTAAACTATTAAACTGTATTTACTATTCCATAGTCCAAATTAATATCCCATCAAAATCAATATTGTTAATACAAGTATTAATACATATTGTACTCTGGGTTGGGCAAAGCTGCCGCTTGGCTCTACCACAGTTAGAATCTGAGTCTAGTTTAAACTTGAAACTAATTTTAAGCTCTTTCTTTAAATAAGAATGTCTCACAAAGCAAGTGTTTGTGACCTGTAAATAACTGTTTTATGTCTGGATGTTTTTCATATGCAATTTGTGAGTATTAATTGTGTTCACAATTGTTATATATCATCGATTGTGATTAATAGTTATGAATGTAGGTACTTGCATAACATTGTTATGAAATAATGTTAGTTAAGTCAACTAGTTTGTCATTAGTTTTGCTATCTAGCACAATACACATATTTACCTAAATTACGGTGTTTTATTGGATCTAGCAGTGGCGACGTAGTGTAAAAAGTGAAACAATGGAACGTAAATCAGTGAAATTTCACGAATTTAATTTACAAAGTGATAATTGGGACAATTATATAGAACAATTACTGTACTGTTTTCAGGCAAATGGAATCGTCTCAGACGCGGTTTAAAGGGCGAATTTTTACACGGTTTGTGGTGCAAATGTATATGAGACTGTTTTGGCATTAATTACGCCTAAAAAATCTAGTGATGTGACATTCTCGGAAATTGTAACAATTCTTACAAAGCATTATAGTCCAAAACCAAACGAGATTTCAGTGTCTTTCCAATTTTATAAACGTGATCAAAAAGAGAATGAATCAGTATCTGAATATATTGCACATATTAGAAAAATAAGTGTGGGGTGCAATTTTACGGACTTGGAATGTATGCTTCGTGACAAACTTGTGTGCGGTATGAGTGATAAGAAATTGCAGTATGAATTGCTAAAAAAAGACAATTTACAGTATACGGATGTAGTGGATGTCATATCATCATGTCATGTCATATCATATCATCTGAAAGTGCAGTGAGGG